TAGGGTTCCTTCTAGATATATGCCCAGGAGCGGGATTCCTGGGTCATATGGTAAGTCTATTCCTAGTCTTTTGAGGAATCTCCACACTGCTTTCCACAGTGGCTGCACCAAACTGCATTCCCACCAGCAGTGTAGGAGAAAGGGACCTATTTTAATTTGATAACTACAGAATATATTTTGGCTTGAAACTTTTGGATGAATTGGATACTTTGGATAGGCCAACAACCTGTTTTATATTCTTCTTTTAAATGATCAAATCATACAAAAAACTTTTTATTTTCCAGCCGTATTCAGGGACGACCTTGTGTGGTACTTGACAGAGCAAGTTAAGTTGTTTGTGTCTGATTTTTAGCTCTTGTGCCTTTGGGCAGCACAACACTACGGCTCTGGGAAGGATGCACGGTCCACTCTCCCACCTCTGAACACTTACATAAACCCGCCCAGCTTCCCTCTCTTACTTCTCTCTCCACAGAGGACCTCCCCTCCTGCTTTGCTGAGAAAATAGAAGTCAGTAGGAAGGAACTGCCTTAACTTCCATCTCCCAAATCTCAAGTCTCCTGTGCCCAGACCCCCACCTCCAAGTCCCCTTGTCTGAGTGGAGCGGTGTCCCTCCGGTCACCAAGGCCAGGCCCCCCCAAGCTGGGCTCGAGACCCCCTTTGATCCTGGTGACAAATTACATAGGGATACAGATTCACCTTTGCAGACCATGCCTTCCAGGGAAGACTGTTTGCATCCCAGAGTCCACAGCAGAAGCTGTCAGCCTCCCTCTGGCAGGACAGGGTTTATGAAGGAAGCTGATCATTACCATGTCAGGGCTGTGCACCTGGGTGAGGTCAGAAATAGGCATCCCTGTAGCCTGCTGGGCTCCTCAACGTCAGAGGCTGTGGGGAAGGAGGAAGGGGAAATGCAAGCATGGGGAGCAAGCTGGAGGAAGCTGCTCTATCCAGGTGCGTTGTTTGGATCCCGGACCCCTCCTCCTAGCAGCTGTGGCTCCCGGGTGTCCTGGGAGAACCTTCAAAAGGCAAAGACAGAGCAGGGTATAGTTCAAGTGGTCGGGCACATGCTTAGCATGCAGGAGGCCCTGGGTTCAATCCCCAGTACCCCCTCCAAAAATAAATAAACCTAGTTACCTCCCCACCCCACCAAAATAAAATAATTAAGCAACACAATAATAAGTAAAACATTAAGCTATTAAAATTTTTCTTAAAAAAAAGGCAAAGACAGAGCTAGTTTGTTGTAATTCGGGAAATTTGGACATGCTTGTAAGGCAAAAGACATTATAGGTGACAGCAATGCCATGTCTGTCCTCATCTCCAGGAAGTGCACTGTAACCCAGATTGGCAGCGGCTGTGACACCCTTTGACCAGGGCTGACTGCTCCTGGGTCCCAGGCTCTGCCACTTTCGTGGTCCCCTTCCATCATAAAAACTGTTATATTTTATTACTGAGTTGGTATAAACATGATCATTTTAATATTATGTATTAAAACATTTTGTCCAACTTAAAAGTTTACTTTTTTTCTCCTAATTTAAAAAAGAAATTTAATTTCTCTTCTGGTCGTAGGTGCTGGGGGAGCCCGAGGCTTCCGTGCAGACACAGCCGAGTCCGAGAACCACCCCACGTGCAACCCGTCCCACAAATGGCACAGACACAGCATCAAGAAACCCTGGTCACAAAGATCTGAATCTCTTAAAGGGGTAGACCCAAGTTCCTGAGAAACACGCGCTTTGCCAGGAAGCACAAGGTGGGTCAGAAAAAGATGCAGGCCAGCAACTCCAAGTCACGGCCCTTGTGAAGCCCGAGGGCAGAACGGGAACTCAGATCTCCTCCAGGGCTGCACATTTTACAGGCAAGGTGGAGGCCTGGCAGAGAAGTCCTTCAAATAACTGGCTGGACCCACCCCAGTGTGGAAAAAAGAGTGTTCTGTGCACTGTCCAGGCATCGAAGCTGTGGTGTCTCAGCCCAGCTGGAACCGCTGTGAGTGAGTGAGGAATGGGGAGGGACCCTAAAATGCTCTCGACTGTCGGCACACTCTTTAATATTAAGCCTCTGTAACCTTGAGTGGGTTCATCCTTTTAAAAAAATTTAACCAGTCGGTGTAGGTTAGGTTATGCTATGGTAACGAATGATGCCCAGACCTCAGTGCTCAAAACAACAAAGATTTCTTTTATGTTCATTCCACCTGCCCATCTCGGGGTGGCTGGGGCCTCTCCTCCGTAGTCCTCATTCAGGGACCCAAGTTGATGGAGCAGCTGCCGTGTGGACTGGTGACAGCAGTCGTGGCAGGAAGACGGCAAATGTGGCAAACTGTGGGTCGGTTCATAGAGTCGGCCACCTGAAAGCGACCCAAGTCACTTTCACCCACTGTGGCTTCCCGAAAGGCCTCACTGAGAGGGTGGGGAGGTGCAGCTCCACCATGCCTCCAGCAGGGGGAGAATGAGACCGTGGGTGCCAGCCTTAGCGATCACTACAATACTGTTAATCCTGTGGATTTTTTTTTTCCATTGAATTCACATAAAACCTGTAATGGTAACTACTACCTCCTTTTTAGGGTTGAGGAAACAGCCTGGGTCCTTGCCATCCCTGGGGACAAGAAATGCATCTCCCTGCCACACCGCAGGTGACATCTTGTAGCATCTAAGAAGCAGCCAACTCCCGGGGGGGGGGGGGGAGGTTTCCCTGCTTCCAGGTGAGACTCACCAGCACTGGCCCTGCCTGCTGCTCTGAGAGGCAGGGGTTGAGGGGTTGGGGTTACAATAGGTTATAATAGGGCCGAGGTCTCCAAGGGAGGGAAGAGAGGGCTTCTCCTGATAAGTTTCTTGGGGTGTGAGGTCTTTGAAGAGTGAAAGGAATGTGGCCTTGCACTTTGCACACCCAGCCGGTGAAGTAGGACAGGCCGTCATGTGTGGCACTCTTCATGGGACTTTGGGACTTTTGTGGACATGGTTGGGAAATGTAAATAATGATGTTGCACCAGGTCCAGAATATAAGCTAGGTGAAAAAAGCAGGCTACAAAAAGTATGACTAGACTGCAGTTTTAAAAGTGAGAGTGTGTGTGTATAGCAAGTATGAATCTCAGCCTGCAAACTATATGAGTGAGAAATATTTAAGTCCTTTATTTCCTTTTAATCAACTTAATTTTGCCTCCAAGCCCTCACTCGTCCTGGTGGGAATTTGCCCTCAGTGACTGTCAGGTCTCCCTGTCACCACAGTTGTGCTGGGGTCCCTAGTCCATAGCAGCAATACACCAGTATGCTCCTGTGATTTTTGACCGTATATAAGCACAGGTCCCAGTGCAGCCGTCCCCCTCTCCATTCGGTCCCTTTGGGCTTTATTGCCTGGCCTGCGTGCAGGAATCTTGGAGAGCCTGGAGACTCACTTCCTCAGAGCCACCCTCTGAAGCATCATCTCTGAGGTCTTGCTGCCTCCCTCCTCACATTGCTGCCTCTCCTTTCTCCCTTCATCCCTAACTCTCTCTACCGCCTCAAGACCTCTCTCCTTCCTGCCTTCTTCAGGACACATAATCTCTTCAGTGAGTCTAAGTTTTTCAAAAGGAAGAAGTATTTTAGCGCTGCAACAATACTTGAATAAAGGGATGGTCAGCAACATGGGGATTACATGATTTGAAAACTATCCTACAACGACCTCCTAGAAATGCTGAGCTTTAAGAAGAAAAACAAAGAAAGAAACCTTCAGGTACCAAGTCTAGAGCCAAGACTTCACCATGCTTCAAGATGCAAGAAGCAATGGTGAGTAAAGAAACAGATAAACCAGTGGGTAAATCTAATAATAACAATATTATTATTAATAATAATAAACTAATTTAGGATATGTAGGAGTGAGAACTAAAACACTAGACAACAGTAATATATAAAATGGGAGGGTAATGATCTGATTTAATGTTTTAATGTCATTGAATTGTTAAGGAGGAGAATAAACACACTGATTCACTTTATATTTTGTAATATCAAACATGCATGTTCAAAATTTAGGGTATTAGTAAAATAATGAAAACTGAGCAAACATCTTCCATGCAGGAAGGAGATTCAACAAAGCGGATTTCCATCTGAAAGAGAGATGGAGGGAAAATACAGAGACTAATATATGAGTTGATTCAGGAAAAAACACCTGCCACGTATATGACAGACAGGAATTACCTCCCAGGGCTACAGTGATCATTTACAGAGTGAGGGTCCAGGTGAGTTTATCTTTTTCTCACGCTTGTGATGCACAGCCTCCAGAAAGACCCCCAGTGTCCCCCACCTCCCGGCACTCACACCTGTGCAGTCCTCTCCCACAATGCAGTGGGGCTACTGTGCGACCAACAGAAAGCAGCAGAGGTGATGGTACAGCACGTCAGGTTGAGGTTATGAAAGTTCGTAGCTTTCGTCTTGGGCTTTTTCTCCAGTTCTCACCATTTGCTCTTGGGGGAAGCTTGTCATGAGTAGCCCTACTGAGAGGCCCACCCCTTGGCCTCCTGCCAACAGCCACTGTGAGTGACCTTGGAAAAGGGTCCTTCAGCCTCAGTCAAGTCCTCAGGTTCCGGCAGCCCTGGCCACGTCCCTGGAGTCCCTGAGTCGGGATCACCCGGCTAAGCTGTTCCTGGTAACTGTACAAGTGTTTGTTTGTTTAAGCTGCTTAGGTTTTGGAGATAATTTCTTACGTGGCAATAGATAACTAATACGATACTTTTGGTGCAATTTTCAAATTGTATGTAATGTACATAAGTGCCCTTATAACCAGAAAAAAACAAGTTTTTAAAGATCACTTAACTAAACCCTTCATTGAGTGTGATAAAGGACAACCTGTTTGGTCATCTTGTTACCATCGGGGCCTGGCACACCTGGACCAACTGACATTGGTCACTTCTCCTGCACAAAGACACCAGCTACACTGGGGGCCTGAACAGAGCTGTCCTTAATTTTGGTTTTGCCAGGAACCCTGGCCTTGGAAAACATCCATAAAAGGAGATGATTCTTTTTGTGTGCTCCAGGTCTTATAAATATAACTAAAAATCAGTTAATTTCCTTAGGAAGCTGGGTAATTTTTATACTTGGTTAGCTGATTCATATGTTGTATAAATTAACATTTGATTTCAATATATTATTTATGTTGTGCTCACAAAGGAGTTTCTAAAGTTGGGAATGTACATTTTTCTTGTGAAGGCCAGCAGATTTAGAAGGAGGTCTGGCGTGGTAGAAGAATGCTGGAACAGCTCTGTGGCTCTGGGACAAGTCACTTTGCCTCTCTGGGCCTCCATTTCCTCATATGTAAAATGACAAGGTGGCAGTGTGTTAATCTCACATGACTGAATATCTGTTAATGGATAGTCCTGCTTTAACTTGCCATGGGATTTTGGCTCTTCAATAACAAGCTAGCCTAAGCGCCCCTCATGAGGGACCCTGCTCCATCCAGGCTGGGAGACCCTCGCCACAGGTGGGCTGTTCACATTTAACTGAAGTTAACTCGGTGTAAATTTTAGTTTCTCAGTTGCAGTAGCTGTATTTCAAGTACTCGACAGCCACAGGTGGCTAGTGGCCAATGTGTTGGACAGCACAGGGTTAGACTCTTGCGTGTTCTACTGGACAGCACCGCTCTGGGATCTTGCCTCTCAGTGTGGTCCATGATCCAGCATTAGCATCACCTGGGGGCCCTAAAAATGCAGTCCCTACTCAGATCTGCCTGAATCAGGATCTGCATTGTGACAAGATCCCCAAGTGCCACCTGCACGTGTGATTTGAGAAGCACGCATTCCCCACGGGGATGGGGAAGCGTGTTGAAGAACAGAGTGGTGCTTAGTCATGTGGCCTCTGTATAGACTCCGGGAACTCCTAGGGTGGCTCTCTTAGCAGTTGTGTAACCTTATCTGCCCAGCGTAGGAAACCCTGAGGCTATAAGAAGATAAAGCAACGATCACCCTGTCTAACACGTAGTGAGATTTATTTTATTTATTTGTATGGAGGTACTGGGGATTAAACCCAGGACCTCATGCATGCTAAGCATGTGCTCTACCACTGAGCTGTACCCACCCCCGTGAGTGCGCTTTAAACGGACGGACTTGTGCTGGTATTTGATGAGGTTTGAGATTCCCGCCAACCCCGAGCCCAGTGCAGACGCGAAGCCGAGTGGCTCTTTCTCTCGCCGCCACAGGGTGGCGCTGCGCCGCTAGCGTCCTTCCCTCCGCGACAGGTTTCCGGCTGGCTCCCCTCAGGAAGCCCGAATTTGCCCTGAGGCTCCCAGGTCTCTGTTTCGGATTACCAAGCACGACCGGGCAGCCCGGACACCAATCCAAGCATTCATCTGACAGATAATGAGAAAACAGGCCTCCTCTTTGTGCCCAGTTGGAATGCGAAAGTAAGGTCGGTGCAAAGAGCTGAATCAGGACTGTGTGAACCGCCGTCGCGGTGGAGGCGAGGGGCTCCTGCTGGAACGCTGGGGGGAGGGGCGCCTTGCTCCTGCGAGTCAGCTTCTGAGTGACCCCGGCTCCCGTCCCACAGACGCAGGCTCTGGCTCTTTGCCGGTCAGGGGCGTGTGTGTGAGAGAGAGAGAGAGAGCGCGCGCGAGAAAGATGAGGTGGTCCCGAGTGGGCTCGTGAGGGATTTTTTTTTTTATTAAGGAGTCATTTTCTAAAGTTTCTCAAACTTTAGCCCACAGCACAGTCGACCCAAGGGCTTTTTTAAAACGCAGATGGCCGGCTCCACCTCCCAGTCAGTGGGAGGTCTGTGGTGGCCTGACAGTTTGTATTTTAAACAAGTTCCCTGTGGCACTGAGACTGCTGACCCAGGGACTGCCCTTTGAGAGCCAGGGCCCTAAACTCCTGAAAAGCTCACGTGGAACAAATGATAGAAGCCGGGTTCTAGAGAAGGACGTTACTCCAAGGGAAATCAGTCCAAACCCGGACCCGCCACTGCCTCCGAGGAAGCCCCCACCCCTTACAAGTACCCTCAGGCCGTGGCAGGGTCCTTGCTGGCCAGAGACCCGGTGTGGTCTGAAGTCTGGCCTGGAGCTGGGAGCCAGGGCTCCTTTGCAGGTGTGTCCCCTCCTGTGCCACAGACTCATAGCTCATAATCCTTGCTCTGCCCAAGAAGGGTGATTAAGACTCTCAGACCCCGCTTAGTCCCACTTTGAGCACCAAACCTGCAGAGACACACTCCTTGCCCTGGTGCCACTGTTACAGAATGCAAGTTTGTGTGCCCAACGCACAGGGAGGCCAGACAGACCGAATCATTGGCGTTTGGAGCAGAGAAAGGCTTATTGCAGGGCCAACCAAGGAGAATGGGTGGCTCATGCTCAAAAACCTGAACTCCCCAATGGGTTTTCAGGGAGCAGTTTTTGTAGGCAAAAGTTGGGGTGAGGGCTGCAGGGTGTGTGACTTTCTTCTGATGGGTTGGTGGTGAGGTCGCAGGGTGGTATTCCAGGAACCCTGTGCTCAGCCTGAAGTTGACACCCTCCACCTGGGCAGG